CGATTGCTTCCTTGGCTTCGCCTATCATCGCCTCATATACCGCCTCATGTACCTCCTGCCCCCTGCTGCAGAGGCGCTGTCGCACGCGCAAGTGTACGTCAGCCCGCTGCTGGTGGGCGGCTGGTGCGGGCTGGTCACCACAGCCCTCAACTGCCTGCCCGTGGGCAACCTGGATGGCGGCCGCACGATGCTGGTGAGGCAGCCGCCGGGAAGCTGCCGCGGCTGGCTGCTGCCGACCGGTGCGGTTTACCGGTCGCCGGCGGGCCGCGGGGGCTGGGCGGCTGGGGGCGGCTGCACAGCGCGACCTGCCGCAGTGCTGGTGCCGCTCCGCCGTCGCGACTGCCGCGGCCGGCCCCGCTGCACGCCCACGTGCCTTGCCCGCCACCCCGCCGCTGCGTCCCTCTGCTCCTAGGCTTCCTATCCTTCCTCTCCGTTGCGTGCCTGCTTTCTTCCTCTGCAGTCTGCCTTCGGCCGCAATGCCCTGGCGGTCAGCAGCCTGCTGTGCTACGTGGGGCTGGGCCTGGGACTGCTGGGATCCTCGCTGGCGCTGCCCTTCGGCCTCTACGTGCTCATCTGCCAGCGCACGGCAGGTGGGTGCGGTGTACTGCTGCCGGCTGGGGTTCGGAGTACTGCTCGGTGTACTGCCCGCGCGTACGCACAGCGGCAGCCCGGCTGGGCAGTTCCGGGGCAGGGGCTTGGGGTGCATGCGTCCAGCCTGGAAGCGGGGTGTGCGCCGCTGTCCCGTTGGCTGGCCCCGGCGCTGCTGCTGACGGCTGTACCGCCCCTCGCCGTGCCTTGTGATACCGCCCTGCAGAGCAGTACATCCAGGACGAGGTGAGCGGCGTGAGCGAGCGGCGGCGCGGCGTGGCCGCAGCCCTCATCATCTTTGCCATCCTCACGCTGGTGCCCATGGGGGCAGACCTTGCTGACGTGGCGGCCGTGGGCACGCCCTCCAGCTTCCTCTAGCTAGCTAGCTAGTAGCTGGTATGGCTGCTGTTGGATGGGCTCAGCCGGGCCGGTGGCGGGACCGGCAAAACCGCCCGTGGGCGTGGCAGCTGCCACATGGCGACCACCGGCGCGCCCCCCAGCCTTCCTAACTTGGCGGCGATGACCTCGCTCTCTGCCACACCACTCCCTCTGCACTCCTCTTTCTCCACTCCACAACCCTCCTTGCTGCCAACCCACCACCTCGTTCTCTACCCTCCTTCCCGTGCTCCCGACTCCTCTCCCTTGCTCCGCTTGCGTCTCCCCCTTTCAGAGCTGTCTTCTTTTGCGCTTCCGAGCGGCACCGAGTGTTTGTTTTGTGCTGCCTGTTCTGGGGTTGGCCCCTGCGAGCGAGAGCCCGCGGAACGAGGCGTGCCCACCCTTCTTGCCGTCTTGCGCAATCGCCGATGGCCAATGATTGATGCCCC